TGGTGACAGGCCAGCGGCTGGGCCCATCTCTTGAATTCGAAGGCGGTTTTTTTGGTGTTTCTCCGCACCGGTATCTGGGCAAAATTAGTCCGAAAATCGAAATATCGATATCTCTATAGATCTCTATAGATATCAGGGACTATATATTTATATATAGAGTTTTAACATGTTTCAACACCCCTGATATCTTATAGTTCTTGGGTGTGCATAGATATCGACATCTCTATAGATCTGGTTCAATAATTGGCGCTCCACAATTGGGCTATGTTGGGCCCTGAATCCCATGGGGTTCCTGGAGTCCCGGCTGGTTGTGGATGGCTGTGACTATTGAAGATTGAAGATCCCCAACTTTAGCACTGTAACAACTTCCTAGCAACTACGCAGAAAATGCTTTTCTTAATCAGTCTTATCCCTTGTTTAATCAGTGTTATCCCAATATATACATGTGGCAGTGTGTCAAAACCTTGTACCCCTGATGAACATCAAAATAGCTGGTAAATGGATGTTCATCCCACTAAAAATGGTATCTATAGGTATTGATCCATACCCATGTTTCATCATGTTTCTCAGTACATTGTCATCTCATGCCAAAGCATGTTGGCACCGCCCTAAACTCCGAGGCCGGCAATGGTTCCAAACGGCATCAAACATGAACGTTTATTGACATGTAATGAAAAATGTGCATTCAGAACTACAAAAAAACTAACAATTTGCATGATGCCTTGAAAAATAAACACAATTATAATATATATATATATATTACATTGGATTATAGTTTGTATTTGGATTATACGTACTTACATTAAAATTAGAATGTTATATCTATGGTTACACAACTAACAGATAGAAATCCAAACTCCAGTTGGGTAGCCCTGAAATTGCAAATGATCTTCCTATTAAACATGGGACTTTTTTTTGCATGCCTTACACCCTGCAGGAGACCTGTAGGTGAGGAAATGTATACCAGAAGATTGCTGATGGCGTTTCATAACCAAAAGTTGTTCATATAACCAATATATAGACTAATATTCAAATATAAATATACAACATAGAGTAATATAATGTCTACTTACTTACAAATATTACACCCCGAGATATCCCTAGATATCCACCATTCCAAACCGTTTGATCTCCGCGACTGGGTAACTCTTGGCTGATCCATAATATCTTTTGTAGAATCTATGTGTTGATAACCCGAGATATGGTTCTTTGATTCTACCATGGTGCTTAAACAAAACACTTATCTCATATCTCAGTATATTTATGTATGTTTATTTCACTTATTTATATTCATTTATAGCTTTGGTTCATGATTTTCAACATGGTTTTAGCTGCGCCTAACTCTTCACCAAAGCCCCGGACCGAGGCCCGAGGCTCAGTGAAATCTTTGGGCGTCTGCAGGAGCTTTGTTCTCAGCTGCTGCTCCCAATAAGGCTTGCTCCTGCTGGATGCAGAAAACATCAGAAAACACTCCCTGAATTCAGAGATTTCTTGGAGAATCAATGTATATAGTCCATTGGTAATCTATTTCTCCATGGTATTATCCATTGGTACGTTATATGGTATGATACACTTATAAACCATTGGTGTAAATACTGTAAGTTGGTTCATAAACCCCATGAAAACTGTAGTTATAAGTGTAATAGTTGCCATAGTTTTGGGAGTTATGTGCACCAACTTCGCTATCGTTTGGGAGGCCCACATTTTAGGGATATCTTGGAGAATCCCAAGCCCAAAGATGGGGATTGGTAAAACAAGTCAGGAAGCAGGATGGAACAGGATGGAACAAAACTGTGACAATTTGGGGATCTGGGGATCTACTGTACCCGATGACTTGGGGATTTAGCGGTGACCTGTCTTTTTGGGGAGACAACTGTGATGGATGACAATTCATCTGTGAAAAACTGGGTTGTAGAAGCCTTGCCATGAATGTCATAACATGTCATTTGTTAACTGTCCATCCGGTTGAAGCCACCTTTATTGGAGCTTGTTGGTTGAAGATTCCATGGGATAAAACAATTATCTGCTTCCTGTATACCATCTGGTAAACTAACATAACTATGGAAAATCACCATGTTATTCATGGGTAAATCCACTATTTCTATGGCCATGTTCAATAGCTTTTTGTAGGTTTACCAAAGGGTATATCCCATTCCCATTCCCCCATAATCACTAGTACTAATCACTACTAATAATCATCCCATTCCCCCATTCCCATTCATTCCCTACAAAGGACCAGTAAGTTATACTATATATCTGCTTCCTGCATAGTATCTATACGTCTTATAATCAGCCTTTCCAAAACAAAAAGGCCTGAAGAAATGGGTGCTAAAAACCTAGCGGTGGTTACCAAACCTGGTTATGACTAACAGTTTGCCATGGTATTTAGCATGGCCCATAGAAATAGATGGTTTACCGTTCTTAAAAATGGGTGGATTTTCCATAGTTATGTCAAATAATCAGAGGGTATTTGTTATAAATCACCTCCTCTGTGATCTGCAAGCATTAACATGCATAAGCTTGTATTTTGGATGTTGTTGGGGATGCTGACCTCACAACTCAGCGGTTTTTTTTGATGCTCTCAGGGCATCAATTGCACCATGATCTCAGATTTCGGAGCTCTGTCCCGCAACTCCAGTCTTGATGGCAAAAATGTCATTGCATGTCACTATCATGTCATAATATATCATCATTCCGATTATAATCCCACATGATTATTATTCCAAGGATCATTTATCATCTCCATAAACAATTCAGGTTATTCCAAAGCATTCGTTTCTATGAGCGAATGATCTCCAATGATCAAATTATTCCAACTAGAAGCCCAATATGGTTATGGCTCAAAAAAACGGTATGGATCGCTACGCCGCTACGCGGTGATCCGGACGTATGGAACGAAGGAGTTACACAGGTGATCTCAAATGAATTCAATCTCTTCAAAAGGGCATGGATTTGGATGGATCGGGAGTATGGATCGCCTGTGCGTCCGGGGTATGGATCGGGACATTACATTTTGAGCTGCAGCAACATGCACAGAACTCATAGTCATAATCCCACAGACATTGTTTGTCCCACTATAAATTATATACTTAGTTTGGCCATGGCGTTAGTTAACTGCTTAGCAAGTGGCTTGCATACGCTATATATCACTTATAATTCAAAACCCACTGATTAACCAGTTTTCTAACTAGGTAATCCTGACTTCCTAATATATTCAACGCCCCCATAAACCATGCTTTCTCTTGCTGGAATTTTCACATACTTGAGACCATAATTTTCGGAGGTGCATGACTGGGAATGGTAGCAATGGTAACCATACCATCTATAACAGTGAAATTCGGGATGGTTTATGATCTTGTTTTACCAACAAACAACTAGACATCCTGAGAATCGCGGCTGGAAGATACCCTCTGGTAAACTAACATAACTATGGAAAATCACCATTTTTAATGGGAAAATCCACTATTTCTATGGCCATTTTCAATAGCTAATTACGTTAAAAAACCAGAGGGTACCAGTAGCATGGCCCATCATGGCTCCTGGTGATCCATCCCGCGAGATCTTTCTGCATCTTCTGCGGCACCTGCGCGTGTCGTAAGGCGCGTTTCACGAAGGACGCTTCGCAGCCGCAGTCCGGCGCCACCGAAAGGTCCGAGGGCGTGCCTCACGGTGAACCGGCGGTGATGTCAAGAACAATGGGGGGGTTAAGAAGCAAAAAGCATGGTTTATCTCCAGTAATATGAATCATAGATTATCCATATATTATCCATATATCAACCACATATTATATATATATATTATATAACCATATATCAACCACATATTATATAACCATATATTATCCATATATTAACCATATATTAACCATATACTAACCACATTAAATTACCAAATAATGGTTTCACTGACAAAAACGATGACTTAAGCAACAAAATTGTGGCTTCAGCCATCGGAGATGGTGCAAAAATATGGGGTTTAACCAGCAAAAATTGGGTTGTCAAATGTGGTCAACCAGTAGAAATCCAGGTTTTCTCAAGGTAAGACATGGAAATGCGGATTCAACAACCACACATGGGATACTTACTGGAGATAATTGTCACAAATGGATGTTTTATTACCAACAGGCGGAAGACAATATGATTATTGTCAAATCATATGATAATGTTGTATCAAAATGGATGTTTCATTATCATATTAGTTTCATTGGTGAAACATTACGTGTCACATGATTTCAGCATGTTGCACCAATGAAATTGTCCAGCAAACCTCGCATTTGACTGTGATTTCACCAATGGTGAGAACTTCTACCAGCAAACCATGACCGTTTCGAGGATCCAACACCTGGATTTTTCATTTCTTCAAAGCAGCAGAACATGGTGATGCAACCCAGAAACAGTTGGTAAACAGGTGTTAACATCCATCATCTTGCTGGTTAAACGATATTTTTGGGCTGGTTGGCCCACCGCATGTTTGCGAAACCACGATTTTTTGATGCTCAAAACATCATGGTCCCAGTGGCAGTTGGATAAACAGACCGCCAAGTCAAAGTAGCTCTCCCACAGGTTATTGGACCTGGCTGCGCAGCCATGGCGACATGCGGATAGTTATCATGACGATCATTTCAAGCACCGACTGGGTATATCCCTTTAGTTATATAACATATAAATGTATATGTATATACAGTAGAGGGACCGCACATCCTAACATATGTCATAATCCCAGTTGTAGCCTGGCAGGAACCCGAACTTTGATAGGGTTTAAAGGGCGGGATCCCCAACAGCTGGATGATTTATAATGGAAAATCCTATTCAAATGGATGATTTAGGGATACCCTCATTTTAGGAAACCTCCATATTAAGGGTTTATGGATTGCTTATGGTGGATATACTCACATCTTGAACATTCACTACTCTAACATACTCTAACTAGGCTTTGTGGATGTAAATGGATACATCTGCAGTTGGCTGAAAGAAACCAACAAACATCACTGCAAGCCTATGGGTTTGTCTGAAAATAGGCTATCTCCAAATCCAGTAATTTACCTTTTATCCCCAACTTTAATTTAGAGACGATTTTGGTGGTAGTCAGACACACCCATCCAATGTATCTTTCATATCCAGAGGTGGTACACAGATCTTTCATGTGTTGCATGGCATGTTTTTGTCGCCAAAAATCCGCCCAGGCGCATGAGCACCGCCCCTCGATCATCGCAGCAGGTTTCCAGGGCGTATCTGATCTCAGGGGCGCTGCCTGTCCAAGTGAAATCCAGCGACCATTGAGGCCAAAAATGCCCCAATTCTATCTCGTATTGGATGTAAGATACCTAATATTCAATATATACATCATATATCCAGGAATCTATTCTATATATCATATCCTGTATCTTTCTTATCATAGTATGGCATTGGATATAGGATACCTAATATGGAGGATATAGGATGATATAGGATATAGTATGATTAAGATATTCCATCTCAAAATGCCCTGGATGATTAGGTGGTAGAAGTCCCTATCTTAACCAATCATCCAGGGTGTCTAATGGCTCAAGTGGATATATATATATATATATATAATTATATATATATGTATATCCCACCTTCAGCGGGTTAAACAAACTAAAGGTATACCCATTTGTGACCTCAACTGCACCCGCAAGGATAAATGGATGTCAATAAGAGGTGAAAGTCAAACTAAACATCAGGCTTTTTCAGGCATTCAGATGGAACACTATTGAACATGATGGAACTAGGAAACCAGGATCAACATGGCCAAATAGTTTCTCCATGCTGTGTTGATTCAAAATAAAGAAACCCTTCCGGTCAACCTCTCCAACTCCAACTGATTACGGAGGATTTCACACGACGGTGATCTGACCACCAAATGGGACAAGTGTCTTGTCTTGTTAAAGAAACCCTTCCGGTCAACCTCTCCAACTCCAACTGATTACGGAGGATTTCACACGACGGTGATCTGACCACCAAATGGGACAAGTGTCTTGTCTTGTTGAAGAACATATGAAAAAATAAAAATATATGCCTTCAATTATTGTTTATCATAAAAAAAATCAAATGGTAAACCGGGGGAGAACATAATCAAGAAACAAACTATGAGCCACCAGATTAGCTAGTTTCAAAAAATGTATAACATCAAATTGAAAGACAAAATGAGATAAAGACAGGTGAGATAAGAATATGCAGGATCATATCAGATAAGGACAGAGACAGGGAGATAAGAAGGGATCAGATGTCCCGAGATGAGACGAGAAGACCAGAAAAGGAACTCAAATGACAGATCTTGATTATTGATTATTGATGGATAGATAGATGGATAGATAGATAATGATAGATAGATAATGATAGATAGATAATGATAGATAATCAATATCTCAAAAGTGTAAGATGATCAATGATCTCTTCAGATGCGATGAGATCAACTAACATCTGTTGATGTGAGATGAGATAAGATAGTAGGCGAGCAGAGTGAGTCGAGATGAGACAAGGTAGCAAATCAGATAGGGATGATATGGAAAAAGCGTCAAACAATCATCCTGCAATCTGACAGCCGATAGCAACACATCTTGAGTCTTACCCTCTGGTAAACGTTTACATAGCTATTGAATATGGCCATAGAAATAGTGGATTTTCCCATTAATCGCATGGTGATTTTCCATATGTTTACCAGATGGTAAATCCCAGCCTCAAATGACACACCATTACTTCAAGCTCCCATGACTCCTTAGATCACACAAAACAAATCCCACAGTTACATCACATCCAACACATCGTTCCACAAAAAAATAAAACACCATTTGGGATTGGTCAAAAACATTCAAAACCCCCTGGCTTTTGCCGTATCAAAATAGCTGGTATAGCTGGTACTAGCTATGGAGCTTTACAGCTGGAGTCATCGAACTCAATGGGGCATTGTCCCTAATGGATGCATGGATAAATCGATAGATGGATAGATAGATGGATAGATAGACGGATAGCAAGCTGGAATTGGAATTATCTCGCATTCAATGAAAGGTTCATACATTACCTAGAGTCATGAGCCGTGCACTTCCTCATCGGGGTACCCTCGCAACGTCATGCTGCTGCACCTCTTTGAAAACATTCCTGAAACTCCTCCTGAAGCGAAGTGGATCTGAAGGTGCACTTGGGTGATTTTACTTGGATTGGAATTGTGCCAACATGTTTTTTTTTCCGAAAATTGTATACCTAGACCCTCCAACTACCTACCCATGAGAATTGGGATTTTCATAATTGATCCACCACAATTTTAGTAATAGTTCGCGTTTTTTTTGGTATTTGGAGGGTCTAGGTATCCGTGCAAGGATTTTGATTTCTCGTATCTCATGTCATGTCGGGTTCCCAAACCAGGCCCAGGTCGAAACCGGACCAGGGGCATTTCAACTGCAACATACCTGGTTGGTGGTTGAGCCACCCCTCTGAAACATATGAAAGTCAGCTGGGGTGATGACATTCCCAATATGATGGGAAACATAATCCAAATGTTCCAAACCACCAACCAGATACCATCCAGTAATCAAACATTGCAATTGAACATGCCCAGTTTGTAGATGATTTTTTTCCAGTTTTGAACCTCAATTCGTTGACATGGAGGACGTATTTTCCGGCCAGCCATGTTTGATGACAATATGGGATATACTTCAGAAATTTGTTTTTGGCATCTTGTCTTACCATGAATCCACGGCGAGCCCCACCCAACAGCTGGGAAGCCACTTCTTTTTGGAGCCTAGCATACCAAAACAGCCGAGGCCTGCTTGGGTCAGCTGAGAATCACCACGTGCCAATGATGGTTGACCCATGTGGATTCTCTGTTTTCCAAATCTATCTGCTGCCCGGCTGTGGCTTGAATTCTGCTGAAAATCGATCCCACGACTCGCAGATCATCGCCTTTCCGTATGTTTGGTGGACACATCCGCATCTTCAACTGAAAAACAGGATGCTTCATCAGGTGTTTTCCAATTTCTTTGGTGGAGTGGATGCATCTCAAACTTCAAATTTTCCACACATCATAATTGTTCAGCATGATTCCATCTAATTAGATATATATATATATTAGTATATTAGTATAGTTGGTGAATACGTTCCAATCTTCAACTATTCAGAAACGTTCATCATCTGGCAACATAATTTTCCCCGATGATTGGTGGATCGTCCTTCCAAAAAACGGGACGCTCCTACAGTTATGACCCGAGTTATACCAGTTATAAGTACAAACAGTCACCCCATTTATAGTCCGAATTATAGTTCATGTAAAATCCATTAAAAAAATAACCAGTGATACTGGTAGGTGGTTTCAACCCCTCTGAAAAATATTGGTCAGTTGGGATGATGACATTCCCAATACGGAAAAAACATGTTCCAAACCACCAACCAGCCATTAAATCCCATAAAACAACCATAAAATGGTGGATTGAATCCCAGAAACTCCCCCATTTTATCCACCATTTTTGGGCCAGCTCCCTGTGATCCACTGATTCCACACCCATTTAAACTCCTCCAGCTCTCTGTCGCTCATGGCGGCCAGTTGCTCGGCGGAACGCGCGCAGCATCTCTGGAAGTTCCAGACGCTGCGTCGCTTGCGACAGGGCAAGGCAACCAAGCCGGCGGGGTTTTCATCACCTGTGGCACCCTCTTAGAAGGTACCACGGGTGATCCGTTGGTTGGTTGGGAGAAGGTGTATATATATATATATATATCCCATAGGATCCATGGTGCTGGTATATGCAAACATTTGGGGTATATTGATGGTAAATGCTATGGGTATATATATATATGTATGTATATGTATATGTGTGTTTTTAATCTATTTGTTTGTTTAGCAATGAAATAGTAAAAACATGGAGATATTGAACTTTTGCTCATATCTCTTCATGTTGTTGAAATGGTATGCACTGGACCCCCGCATATGGCAGTATATCCTCCAGCATGAATCATGCGCTTCATGTGTATTATATATATACATACACAATATGATGTTTGCTTAAACCAAATGCTGGAAGCTGAAGTGGGCTAGCATCTCATGGAGATATGGCAAAACTAAGTGTCTCGAATAAAAAAGGATTTGCGTGTGCCTGGATTTTCCTGGGGGCGTTAAACTGACCACATGTTGAGAATGGGTCCATGTTAATACTGAGAAGGGATATTGGATCTGGCTGAAACTGGACCAAAATTCCTGTTCCCCACTCATGTTGCTGGGTCACCCCAGGGATTCAAATAGCGTATCCTCAACCTCCCACAACTCCTACTCCCCCACTCGGTTCCCCCCCCAAAAAAAAAAGGTGTCTTGAAAATCCTCCTCTTAAGATCCTTTCAATCAGAACCCCAACGATAGGTAAGTTGGTTATATGTATAATTATATATATAACTGTATACAGAATATGCTTAGAACTACAGCACTAAAATGATCTACGGTGGATGTATCTACGTTTAAATAGGTCTATAGACGAACCAAGTCCATATTACTACATCCCCATTAATAACATTAGTTATGTGTCAATGCCAATAGTTATTCTCAGAGGAATCCACGTATGTATCCATACGTTCCATGCGTTAAGCAGAGAGGAGCCCACCCCCCACCCCAAAACTGCCGTCTTAATGGGGGAACATGGTGGCACAGTAACCACCAAAAAGATGGAAACGTAATTTTGCACTATTTTACCGGGATTTTACTCAAATCCATCTTTTTGGTTTCAAAAGACTCGTAGACCGGATGAAATATGCTTCCCCTGCTTTTTTCGGCAACCCCACAATTGGCCAACACAGGCCATCTCAGATGAGCAACCCCATATCGCAGGGTCATTCTTCAGTCTCTGATACAGATCTTTGGGCTCCTCTGCGCGAATGGTGATGGCGACCCACCACCATCTCCACCAAGCCCCGTGCATCATCCGATCTCCAGCACTCCAAACACCGCATCATGGCATGGCGCGGGAACGGTGACGCGAACAACGGGGGGAACGGTGGGGCCACGCTGGCGAGGCGGGGATCAACTGGTCTGACTTGGATGATTTAGGGGTACCCCGTGGCACCCAGAATTGAAGGAAACCTCCAAATGGGGCCCTATTAAAAAACAACTCTTCTCATTGGGGATCATCATCCCATGTCTATAGTCGATAAACACATACCCTCTGGTAATCGAACATAGCTATGGAAATCATCTACAGATGGGCCATCTATACCATAGCTGTCTTGGTACTTAAGCAGCGTTCAAACCTTTTGTCATCCCTGTATACTGGCAGATGATACGAATTCTTATCCCCAAGAAACAACCCTTTTAAACCACCAGGGCAACCAGAATGGCACTATCCAATCTATCCAACCTCCTCCGACCCCCTTGACAAAAAACAATCATCAAATAATTTGATTCCACGATTTTCATCGATTTTCCATATCACATTATTTCCCCAATTATGGTTGCTTAATGTTGCTTAAATCCCCAATCATTGTAGTTAGTTTAACCCCACCAACCCAGACCACTTTTTCTTCTACGATGTCCATGTCAAGAGCCTGGTGCGATTCACATGACGACATCGTGGGATATTGACAAATCATCTTAGGGATTCACGCCCAACAAACATGGATAATAATACTATGTGGAGGTTTCCTGAAATGGGGGTACCTCCAAATCATCCATTTTTAGATGGATTGTCCATTGTAAACCATCCATTTTAGGGTATTAGGGTACCTCCATTTCAGGACACCTTAATATGGGATAACACTTGGATGCTTGTATCATTGTACGAATGTATGAAATACTTGGATATATTCGTATGGTAAGTGTACCAGTAAAACACATGTGCCATGGTCAAGAGATGGTAAATAGTTCATGTTCATCCCAGAAAGAGAATCCTTACAATGAGAACATAAATCCCCATAAAATGGATTGATGACTCGATGACCATACCCCAAGGACATCCAAGGACTGGGTATATCGAAGTTTTGATCCTGGCACACTGGCATAGGGATAATGGATGAATGGTGAAAAACCGATCGACGTACTAAGCCAGAATTTTGTTTATGGATGTTAAAGGTGGTATCTAATACTAGCGGTTGCTAGCGGTTACAAGTACTGGAAGGGATTAGCAATAGCTGGGTAACCTGCAAAAATGGGATGGAATGGAGATTTAAGCAAACACGATAAGGGATAATGGGGCAGAGAAGGCTATAGGATGTTGTTATCTGCGTCAAACCATTTTACTGCACTAGCCCCAGAATGGGAAGTCATTGGGTAAACGGGGTACAGTAATTACTTACTGCATAGTTTATGGCATTGGGTTGGCCACTGGACAAAGCATAATAGTGATTCACGAACCTTTATTTTTTTGCACAGTCACATTCACCATCATTCGAGTGACGTCGGACGACGACTTGGAATTACAAACACGGACGCTAAGATATACAAAAATGCACACCTGGAGAGATTGGGGAAAAGCGAGATACAACGTCTGAAACATGTGTTTCTATTTGAGTGTCCAAAAATGGTCTACACCCCAAATCTGCGGCATGTGAATGCGGAATACTACAGTAAAACTGATCACTGGGATGAGGCAAGCCTAGTCGAACCCTTCTGCCAAAATCACTGGGATTTTTGGATCTTCATCCACTGAAGATTTCTGGGGAAGTCTTGATCCATCCCCAGACCCAGAACCTTTTTCTGCTTGTTCTATCCCATAGAAATCACATCAATGTCCTGTTGGATCACAAAACATCAGACAAAGCCACTGTTTTTGAAGGCACCAAAAAAAAAAAGGGACCACCGGACCACCATCCCCATTGCCGTCCCTAGGGCCGGTCAAACCCACCAGCCTCCAGCTCATGCAATGAACCTGATATGGGTGCGCGCACGAAAACTCTGTCGTATGATTCAAACATTGAAAGCTATGATCTGAGCATTTACAAACAAAAACATATAAACACATATAAACATCAGCAATGGCGATTTGGATTCCTCTTTTGATGTATGGAACAAATCTATGAACCCTTAACCAAACAAACTGACTATATTGGGTTTTCCCTGTCGAAAAAAAACATTTTGAATGGACTGGAGACATTCAGTAGGAATTCCCTCCGTTATTTGGGAAAGAACATCGACCAAACCGACATGAACATAACATTTGTTCGAACAGAACAGTTTGCGCCCGTGAAACCACCAATAACCACCATGCTCAGCTGATACTCTGCTTCGTCCAGCTGCCTCCCCACTGCGCAGCGGTGCAACGGCAACTGGTCGCTGACTGAGAGAGGTCCTGCGAAGCGGCGAAGCAGATGAGAATCTAAGTCCTACTAGCGCTTGACCCCACGGGAATTTCAGTGAAACAACATGGGAACCAAATAATCAACCAATAATCAGTGAAATTAATGGGATTAATCAGTGAAATAATGGAGTTATTAATGGTTATTTCACCCCATTTCACCTGCAGCCTTTCGCTTCTGAAATTTTGCCACTGGAATCCACTATGCTGCGGGTTAAACTTCAATCCTTTGTCAGGTAAACCAACGTCTGATGGTCATTGTTTCTAAAACACATTAGCATTTGGGTAGGTTCAGTCTCTATTGCTCTGGGTAAATTGTAATTATTCACTAACCTAAAATAAAAATAATTCCCCAAATCCTAGCCATCATTCCAGTGAGGGAAGACAGCTATAGGTCACGACTTAAAAAAAACGGATTCTTGAGGTTGATTCCATGAATCATTAATCACTCATCTCCGTTTTTATCCCATAACCATAACCAATAATCCACATTATGAATGATATTTATTATGAAGATATTATGATTGATATTATGATTGGTTCCTAACCATGATATCCACTGGTCTCCATTCATATCCATTAATCATTAATCTCATCAACTAATGGTTCTATATCCATTCATCATAATTAATCATTAATCTCCATTAACTCCATTAATAACCAATAATCAGTGAAATTTGACTAATGAAGTTAATCAATTTTTTGTCACATGATTTGTCTATATTAGTTTCCATTAATCCCATTAATAACCGATAATCAACTACGAATCAAATACCATTAATAAGCATTAATGACAATTAATGAACTATAATAGGCACCCATGACTTAGGACTTAGGTCACCATAGTGACATAGGAGTTTGTGCACCAAGTCCTAAGTCACTGGTGTTCTTACCAGGTGATTTGTGTGCACCAAGTCCTAAGTCACTGGGGTTATGATTGGACTTAAGCACTTTTTCGGGTTAAAAAAAATAAAAAATCTTCTCTTAATAAGTCATCAGAACCTACATGCTTACATTACATTACAGTACAGTAAATTACATCACACTACGGTACATTCCATTACATTGCCGTAAAGTACTGTACATCACACTACACTACAGTACATTACATTACATTATAGCACATTACAGTACATTACATTACATACATGCACAGGACTTGGTGCACAAAATCGTCTGTCACTAGAGGGGCACAAGTCCTAAGTCATCAGAACCTACATACTTACAGTACATTGCAGCACAGTACAGTACATTACACTACATTACAATACATAATACGTTAAACAAAAATAAATAAACAAAAAGAATGCATATATTAAAAAAAAATGCAGTATTCGAAAAAATATTTCAAAAAGGAAAAAAAAACAAAAACATATATCTATATTTTTGTTTATTTCTGTCATTGTTTTAAAATAATGTCTGTATATAAATCGATGGAAACATGAAAATCACAGATTTTTTTTGAACTATTCTTTTTGAAGATGGGCACAAGTCCTAAGTCATCAGCTTTCGCAACGGTTGGCTCGAGGACTTCGACCCAACAACGGGGTAGTGCAACGGGGTGATACAACGGGGACCACAATAGGGAAGCACAACGGGGGAAACAAAACAGGAAACAGCATAGAAAAGTGAAAAAAAATGTATGTATTTTTTCATTTGTTAAATTGCTTTAAAATAATGTTTGTATGTAAATCGAAGGAAAAAATTAAAATCACAGATTTTTTTTTGAACTATATTTTTTGAAGATGGGCACAAGCCCTAAGTCATCAATTTTTGATTCGATTTATGTACATACATTGTTTTCAAGGTATTAAATAGATTTAACATTTATGGATATAACTTTTCTATTTTGTTTCCACGTTTTGTTTTCCCGTTGTGTCTCCCCGTGGTGTCTCCCCCGGGCGGTGATCCCAATGCAACGAGTCGGGGTGAGCGTTTTGCGCCAACGCGCGCGCGCGTTGGTGGAAAATGAAAGCGAGCAGTTCCCGGTCGCCTCTGCAGTCCCTGTGGCGCCGCAGTGGGGTGAACAACGGGGTAAGACAACAGGGACCACAATAGGGAAGCACAACCGGAAAAAAAACAGGAGAAACAACAGAGAAAAATGAAAGTGAAAAAAACAAAAAAATATTGTATTTTTTTAAAACTTAATTGCTTTATAGTAATGTCTGTACATAAATCGAAGGAAGAAAAAATGAAAATCACAGATTTTTGAAATATTTTTTTTGAAGATGGGACAAATAGCCAAATAGCTGCAGCACACGAGCGTGATGACTTAGGATCATCTTAGTATACTTCTGCTAGTTAATTCCTATGTCATCCTGGTTTTACGAGTGGTCCATGCCGCACAAAAAAAATCAAGCATAGTTTCTAATCTCATACGGACACCTGATGAGTTGGGACTTGTGCAGGGGGGGTCTGAAGCATGATGAGATAGGACTTGTCCACCCCAGGGTATCTTTCACAAGTCCTAAGTCACTGGTACCTAATATAATGGTTCTAATCCCATTAGTTGCCATTAATAGACTTAAAATGAAGTTTAACCCCCCTCACAATGGTTGATGGATCAGCCACCTTTCGCTAAGCCTCTCCTCCATGGTGGACAAGCTTGAAGGCCATGGAACGTGGCCTGAAGGCTGGATAACTGAAATCACCACTAAGCTAAGAACATGCGTGTTTACATGTATATGATATGTTTATAATATAAACATATATATATATAT